GTAGTCGCTGGCGCGACATGACTGATCTGCTGTCGCATGGACCTCACAGAGGAGTTGCACGACCACCGTATGTAGAAACAAGAGCTAGAAGGATCTGTAGGTGGCTAGGGCGAGCAGGAGTTGATTCATCAATTGCATGAAAGTGATGGGCGTGTTGGGCTGGCCAAAAGACATAATGGTCCATTTGTAGAGACCATTGCGTTCCTTGAAGGTGGTCTTCCACTCTTCTCCCGGCCGCATTCGTATCTGATGATATCCACTGCCAAGTTGACATCGCGTAATTAATCTAAGTGATCATCTAGGCAAGGTATGAGAAACCGGTATTTAATGGTAATTTTATTAATGGCGTGGCTGTCAATGTACATCCGTCATAAACCGTTCTTCTTGGGTACCATGGGAACGGGAGGGGGGGGGGGGGGGGACCATGGGAAGGGGGGGGGGGGGGGGGCACATGAACTGGTGCTTTCTCGAACTGATCCTCTCGTAACGAGATCCTACACTTGACGCTATAGCTCCTCGTATTCTACAGGTCATAATCTATAGCCGGTGGTCGATTTGGTAACACCAATCCTGGTATAAGGTCTATGGCGTGTTGAATGTCCCTTAGTACCTTCGGTCCGTCACGAACTGATTGCAGGAAGGTGACTCGTGAGACTTACACATCCTCCATCTCAATCACTCTTCTCACATCCTGGACAAGTAACAACATGATGTACTTCTCATCCTTCTTAAACTTGTAATTGGTCTCGAAGCCGTTGTGCTGTATTTTCTAGTCGAACTGCCACGACCTTCCCAGCTGAATGTAACATGCGTCTATCAGAACCACATCATACCAAACTTGCTTCTGTAGTTGATCGCAGATTGAGAATTCAACTAAGCATTGTTGATCTGCATGTATCTCGTTCCTTTTTTTCAGTTACGTGAGAGAATAGGATCGCAAATGTTTTTGTGTGGCTAATCCCAACTTTTGCCCATAAGCATAGAGATGGCGTTTTCACAGCTTCCACCGCCTATGATCAAACTGTAAATTTTGCCTTTTACCGTGCACGTATTGCAAAAGATGTGTCGTAGCTATGACAGGTCTCTTTCTAGTTCCGACTGCAGAACCCTTCGTATGACCAACATTTCGCTTTCTTCCCCTGGAAGTTGAAGTGCCTCTTGCGCACTATCCTCTGACTCGGCTTCCTCTACTTCCTCAACAATGCCTTCACTAAACAAGACAACTCCGCTTATGAGAGAGTTGGTCGTGATGTGGTTGTAACCGTGACACCTAAAACACTTCCGTGCAGAAACCATCCTAGATGAACTACCCTTTTATGGCTTTGTTCCGCTCAAGGTGGTCTTCTTGCTTTCTAGTATTGCTTGTTAGTTCTAGAAGTGGTCGTCTTGTCGACAGATGTAACTGTGGGGAATGACTTGAATGTCGACTGTTGTTGAAAGGAAGACTGTGACTTGGCCTGCTTTTACTACCTTTCTACATTTAATGCTAGGGTTCGGACATCGCCCAGCGTCTAATAGGGTTATAGTTGAATTATTTCGGGCGATCGTGCGCTCCTCTTGCTCGACTAACTCACACTCATTTGTAATTGGTCAAACTTCGTCGTGAAATCCTCAATCAAAAGCTCTCGGGGCTGCAAGTTGTGGAGCATGAGGAACATATCTTGGCGGTAGTGGAGTGGCACGTAGTTCTGCATAGCTTTCTTCATTTTTGCCCACTGGGTGATCTTGTCGCTTCCGTCTTGTTCTGCTGCAAATTTTTCCAACATAACGAAGCAGTTTCCTTCAATTTAATAGCAGCTAGTTTAACCCATTTATCCTCGGGCACCTCCTTGTATTCAAAGATGTGTTCGACCGTTTGCAACTAGTCAATGAAATCGTTGGGATTCATACTTTTGTCAAACTCTAGTAGGTCCGTTTTGATGTCAAAGTCCTCGTATGCGCCAAACATGGCTCCTCTCGTAATCTCCTTTGATAGTGAATGTTGAAGTGACATGGTCGATATTCATCGTTGCTAACGGCTTTGCGGTGAAACATATTTAGATCGTCTTCGAGGTCTCCTCTTCGACTCTCGAGGTCGCAGTCGACGGTTATGTCGCCTTGGCCATATCAACCAGTCGTCGTTGTAGGAAAAGAATCTCCCATTTTATTTCTTCCTGACTCGAGCTAATGAACATTGACACGGGAGAAAGGAAGAGAAGAGAAAATTAAGTAAAAGGGAGAGGGAAAATGAAAAAAAAAACTGGCTGGCTTGGGTGGGGGGCAGATACTGAAGAACCATAAGCTAGGACTAGGGTTGTATTAGTTCTGATACCAAATGATGTCAGAGTTAACCCATATCCGACGCAAGCGACACATTTTATTATTGATTTCAAGAGGGGTACAAGAACGTCGCTACAACAATAACACAACACAAATAATGATAAATACAACTTGTGGAAAAAAAAACAAAAGTAATTTAAGAGAGAAGTAGCCCTCTCGAGCAAGCGAGGTAGATATGAGAGTGGAAGGAGCTACGCGGAGGTGCTCGAAGGGTGGTGACTAGCTAGAGGATGCAGAGACAGCCAGAGGAAGGGGAGGGCGACGCCGACAAAGGGCGTTAGACTGTAGGGGGCTAGTGCGCAGGTACAATTGCGTTGGCGGAATGCGGTTGACTTGCAATGGAATGACTTGCATAGATGAGGATTCACACAACTGTTCTGTGTAGAAACGTGCCCTGCTGGTATTTGTAGGTGGCTGGAGCGAGTAGGAGGGCCGTACAGTGACTCGTCTGTGCGAAGGAAAGGCGATGACAAAAGTTACAAGTGACTGTGGTTGAGGAAGGGCGCTGGCGGGAGCTGCAAGCAATTGAGGATGAGTAGAGCGGGTAAATAGTACTCTATCGTGGGGCGCCTGCAGGGCCTGTGATCGTCTTAGAAGAGAGGAACCCGGGGGTGGTGGGAAGCATCTACCTCCATTGGTTCGGTGCTGGTCGGTCCGGTCCAGTAGGAATGCTGGACAAGTCAATTGTAAGGCTAGCCCGAACTCGAGAGCCCCGCATCAAAAATTCTAGTGGGTTTCATGTCAAATCAATTACGATTTTGGACCAAGAAACAACCGAATATTTATTTTCATTACATACAAAAAGTTTTTATCCCACTTAATGGGGTCAGCTACATGAATTTTTTTATCCATTGCATCCTACTGAGTATCATATTTTCATTTAATTCTAATATATTAAGATAATTTTTTAAACAACATGGCCAAGTCTTTTAAGCTCCATTTCTGCTTTTCCTATAAGTCAAATCTAAATCATCTACTTTCCTAAAAGAATCATCAGATGGTCAACATTTGATGTGATCAAACCGTCTAAGACGCCTCTCGCTAATCTTGTCTGCACTGGAGCTAAACCAACTCTATCAAGGATATATTCATTTCGCATTCTGTCTCTAAGTATCAAACCACTCAATCCACCTAAGCATTTTCATCTCCTCAAAACTTAACTTTATTTTATGCTTCTCCTTTAAAGACCAACATTTTGTGTCATAGAGCAAAGCGCCATAGAGCATTGGGGGTCACACCACCGTCTTATGAAATTTTCCTTTCAATCTAAGCGGTACTTTTCTACACACAATAGACCCATGCATTCCTCCACTTCAACCAACCAACTTGAATTTTACTAAAAACATCTCCATCTATATCACCATCACTTTGAACAATAGAAAAAAGATATATAAAACATTCACACCTTTTAATGATTTGATCACCTAAATTTACAACTCTGCCACTAAAGCTACTACTACTAAAATTTCATTATATTTATTCAATTTTAGATCTAGTCAAATGAATACCTTTAGACTCCAATATAGACCTTCATAATTCAAGTTTTTTCTGAAATCATTCTCTAGTTTTATCCACAAGGATATCATCAACAAAAATCATACACCAAGGTATAACATCCTGTAAATGTCCAGTAAGAGCCTCCATAACTAAAGCAAACAGATATGAGCTTAAAATAAAGCCGATCCCTAATGTAATCCAACTGAAATAGGAAAATACTTGGTCAACCATCATTCTGTTTGTATACAAGTCACGGCTCTATTATACATATCTTCAATGACTTGAATATCAGTCCTATCAACACCTATTTACTCTAGCACTCTCCAAAGAACTTCACTCGGAACCTTCCCGTAAGTTTTTTTTTTTTAAATTAATAAAAATCATATGTAGATCCTCCTTATTCTCTCTGTACTTCTCCATCAAACTTTTCAATGAATGTATAGCTTTCATAATAGAACTGTCTGGCATAAATCCAAACTAATTATGAGAAATCTTTGTATCACATCTTAACCTATGTTCAATTACCCTCTCATAATTTTATGTATAACACATCAACTTAATTTCTCTATAATTTGCACTCTTGTGTATCTCTTTTATTCTTAAAAATGGGACCAAAATACTCTTGCTGCACTCCTCAAGCATCTTTTTGGTTTTTAAAATAACATTAAAGAGTTTAGTAAGCCAAGAAATACTCAAATCTCTTAAATATTTCCACACTTCAATTGGGATAACATCAGGTCCTATCGGTTTTCCACCATTGGTTTTCTTTCAAGCCTCCTCAACTTCTTCTTTACTAAAAAAGACTGTAAAAATAAAACATTATATTATTAACAACGAAATTAAGAATACTAAGATCGATCGTATTTTCAGAAACATTCTTAAAAGTGAAGCTATCATCATTATCATGAAGGTCATCATCATCATGAAGGTCACATCAGTATATAGGCAAATGTACTCTATGCCGCAAATGTACTCTATGCCGTAAAAATTTTGGCTCACATCAGTATATAGGCAAATGTACTCTATGCCGTAAAAATTTTGGTACCACCAAGCACAAGAACCTGAACATGATTTCAAGGTTATTGTCATACTAAAAAAACTAAAAACTACACGATAAATAGTAAATAAATAAAAAGAATAGGAACAAAAAAGAAATAAGAAATAAATCAAAGCTGATAGGATACCTCATGGCCATGCATGCTTTCGGAGCATTGAATATCAGAAGGGACCTACAAAAGTGATTTAGAAATGGTTCTAGTAAAATTCAAAATATCATAATTAAAAAATAGATACATTTGGCTTGGTGAGTCAAATGTTAACCATGACATGTTAATAAATATATATGTAATAAAAACCAAAGTCAGAGGTTTAATTTAAAATATCATATGCCTACTACTTTTTTGGGATCGGTAACCTAAACATGCTAAATTTCCTTTGCTCTAATCTAGCATGTGTGGGCAAACTATCCAACCTCATATAGAAAGCCTAAAAAATATCACAGAGAAGTGCCGTTAGTTAATAGATATATAATATTTATAAACGACATTCCTTGTGGATAAAAATAACTTTCCCTTGTGATATACATATGCTTTAAAATAGCACAAGAAAAAAACAATGCAGGAGCTTTAAGTTTTTGTGGTGAGAGGAGATCACTGAAGCACTTTTGTCAGGTTTTAGAAATCAGAAGCGCTACTTCAAATGAACAAGTACCAGAAAAACAATACCAATCAAATTAATGATGATTCAGTTGGTTATAGTGAGATTAATGGATGGAACTATTAGTTTAATGTCTAATCTTGTAATCTGGAGTTTATGGGTGAAAAGGTGAGATGTTTAGAGAGGTTAAGTAGGAATAAATGCCACGAGTGGTCCTGATTGAGCTGATTATAAATATCACTATTGGAAATGGGCCTTAAGTGATGTTAATGGCTGTAGATGAAAGTGGAGGGTTAGCTTAAAATATTGAAATTATGATAATGAATATTTAGTAAGTTTTGGTAGAGTTTATGGCCACATTATGTTGTGGAAAACAAGACAAAATAGCTGTCCACCAAAGCATGTTTGAGAGCTACCCAAGAGTTTTATGGTGATTTTGAAGGCTGGAATGTGACCAGTTGACCTTTGAGAATGGAGAGGATGTGAAGGCAAAGGTAAGAGGGAGAGTTGTTGAAATGATGAGCAAGAACTTCTAGAATAAATAGCCAATCCAACAAAGAAAAGTTACCTGGGCCATCAAACACTAACTCACAAGAAAAGAACTTTTCAATAATATCAAAAGCGAAAATTTACTATAACATAGCAGCATTATTTGTAGGCATTACAATGAAATCTTAGACTCATTATTCAAATAAAAATAAAAACAAAAAATAATAATAATATTTTGGAGGCAAAGCAAATAATTGGCCAGTAATTGAGGCAAATGCATTAATTCAACTTTCCATGAAGTTGTCAACCCTTACAGAGCTCCAATGTGATTATAAAATGAAAAAATAATTGATATTTCAAGCTGAAAACATAAAATTTTAAATTCTAAAATATTTTTTTTAATGCTTTGACTCAAGTTTGAGCATTAGCCTTGAAGTTTTGTTGATGGGCCTATTTTTGCTTAAGCATCTTGGTATGCTTGGGTTTGTATTTGGATACTCATATTTGGGTCCTCCACAACTAAATCATAAATAACTATACTCCTCAAGTCTTCTTTATAGTATATATAAATTATACATTTATAAAATAATTATGTATTGTTTTGCATTAACTCACCTCTTCGTTAAGAATTTTACTTGGTAGAATTAAATAGATGACAATGGAAAAATGAAGCAAGCATGCAATATGAGTTCTATGAAATATGAAAAAAAAAACTAAAATGCAAAAACAAAATTAAGTAAATATGTCATCTAATCTAGATATCCACTTATATTCAATCAAAATAAAAAAATCAAAACAATAATGTAGAAGCAGTAACCCAAGCCAATAAACTAAGGATTAATAAAAACTGAAGGTATGATTATAAAATAAAATATTAAAATATTATTGACGTAATAGAAGGTAAGGTGCTGATATTTTAAAAAGAAATTGAGACAAATAAGCAAGAAGTACGTTTAAAGATCTAACCAATATTCTTCACCCAAAAAAATTAAACCACCAAAATTATTTTCAAATCCTCCTAAATCTTTGTTAGCAAAAGAGTGAAGGATGGAGAAATGAATATCAACCATTATATTAGTAATTGCCTGACACACCATATGAAGAATACTAGCACACCTCTCCCTCCGCCCTATAATAAAAAAAAAGAAAAACCGTCTATTGTTGAAGGGCCACATGGATGTTGTGTATCAAATTTTGAGGTACTTGAAAAGTGCACCAGGGAAGGGGTTGATCTTCAGGAAGAAAAGAAATGTAGGCATTGAGGGCTATTGCGACACTGACTGGACGAGTTGTGTTGATGATAGGAAGTCCACATCTGGATACTGCATGTTTGTAGAGGGAAACTTGGTATCTTGGAAGAGTAAGAACAATCGATAGTAGCAAAGTCAACTACAGAGACAAAACATAGAGCTATGGCCTTAGGAGTTGCCAAAATTATGATGTGGCTGAGAACCTTATTAGTAGAGCTCAAGGTGGACCAATGAGCTGAAATGAAGTTGTGGTGCGACATTAAGTTAGCAATCAACATTGCCACCAACCCGATGTAACACAATAGAACCAAATTTGTGAAGACTGATAGGTTCTTCATCAAGGAAAAATGAATAACGGATTACTGGAGCTACATCATGTAGAGCAGGTGGTTGCTATCTCACAAAAGGACATAGCTCATTAGATTTGCCTAAGTTATGTGACAAGATGGGCTTAGTGAATATCTTTTGCCCATCTTGAGGGAGAGTGTTGAGATTTGCATCTTGTCTAGAGTCCTAATTGTAAATATGAAATATAGAAGAAGTCTAGGAAGTTATTTGTAAAATGTTGTAAGGGGCTATATAAGCCCAAATGATTAATGAATATAATAAATTAATTGCAAAATCATTTCAATTCCAAGGTTATATTCTAGAGTTTGGGGGAAAGATGAGGATTTAGATGGATTAGCTAGACTGAATGTCATAATTATTTCAGATTGAACCAATTTGGAAGATCACTTTAAGAAAAGAATTTGAAGTAGTATGAAAAACCTGAAAATGGAGGGTTAGCTTCATACTAGCCAATGACGAATAATGCATCATAGAATAGTCTCTTTGGAGTCAGCACATAAAGCATTGTATAGCACACACTTGCTAATATAACACAAAAATTAAAAAAACATCGATAAAAATGTAAGTAAATATCGAAGCCTGCTATATTGGAGGATATACTAAGATGATAATGAAAAAATAACTAAAGTAATTCTAAGACGCAAATGCTCAATATCTCAAGCACTCATCAATGTTACAACCAATAATAGGTTGAACAACATTTCCCAACCACAAAAAATAAAAATAAAAATCAATTCATTGGAAGAATATAATAATTTCTATGGTGTGTTGAGAGCTTATCTTCTAAAAAAATTCATTTCCAAATTCTAATAAATGTGAAATGAATATATCTGTGAAAGGGTTGGAGTAGATTCAGTGGCAAACAAGATTAGAGAGAGTCACTTCAGATGGTTTGGTCAAATCAAACGTTGACCATCTAATGACCTAATTAGGTGAGAAGATATTTAGAAGCGACCATTAAAGGATAGTTCCAATCATATGCATCAAGTCATTCTCCATTCCAAAATCCAATAGGTGTTTCCAAGGTGGTTATAAAAATAAGAAAATAATATTTGACAAAATCTAAACTTTAAATTTTAGAGTTCAGAATTTTCCACGTTCTTGGAGATTTGTTTTCCCTTATGTCTGCACTCTTGTAATCAAACTTCTCTTTGCTCGAGCACCTTAATGTGCTTAAGCTCTTGCTTCAATTCTTATAATTGAGCCTTCCTCTTATCAATAATTTATTATTATAACACTCAACTCTTTTTCATATAAAATAAGATTTTCAATTATAAAAACAACCATGCAAACATGCATTGTTCTGCAACACAATCATTTTCAATCAATTAGCTGACAAGACCAGTGGCTAGGAGAAAATATCACCTTCAAAGATTATTAAAATAGAATCTAGTGCACAGACTTTCAAATTCTATTTAGAATTACAAGAAATACTTATTTATCATATAAAATAACAAATTGGTTAGTTCATTTTTTTCCACTTCAAAGGAACAATTCATCTTGCCTTTTCTCAGTTAAGGATTTTAAATGAACCATTACGAGCAAAAATGTTAAACATAAAGCTGTTTTGCAATCGACATTACAGACAAACTTCTACTAAGCAATGCTTTCAAAAAACACAGATGAACTACCAACCTCCATTCGACTCATAGGTCTTCTGGAACGAAGTTGAGAAATAGCATCCTCTGTACTGCTTGCTGTGAGTCCTAATAGAGAAATATATTCAATCAGAATGTAACTAAATTGCAGTTTAGTTCTAGCTGAATATTCTCTCTCAGGAAATGACAACATTAAATTGGCACAAGGTTCAACAGTATATGCCTGCAGCTGATTCCATAACTCTCTGATTTCTATATTCAATATCATTTATAGTATGCCAATTGTCCTGCTAAGAGATCACGTCAAGTAAACAGATCAACTTCAAGATATTACCATCCCAAAAAAAAAGTACTTCAAAACTAAAAAATACCTTGAACTCCACTTTACCTGATCAAAATAGTCATGCATGGTATGAAAGTAGTGTTCATCAGGAAGATCCTTTGGAGGATTTAGAACATTATGGAAAAAAATGGTAATTGAATCGAAGTAGAATTGTGGACGTGGGGAGTTGTGATCACCATCAAACTTGATAATATTCTTGTCCCCCTACAGTATTGCACATTTATTTAAGAACCCGTGATGACAACTCCACAATAATGAACCCAAATAACTACAGATCATTCATGTTACAGATAAAATATCAATGATGAGAAAAAACTTTCAAGGATCTCATTAAAAAATATTAAATCAAATCAATGTTAATGTGCTGAAAAATATGACATTAAATGTCAACCATCTAATGCTTCAATAAGGAGAGTAGATGTTTTAGATTCAATTTATGATAAGAAATGTAGAGGTAGACCTAAAAAGACCCGGGCATGTTGTATAGAAAATTATCCTAATTAGGAATTAAATAAAAATATAACACTCAAATAGGATTCAAAGGAGAAAAATGATTCATTTAGCTAATCCCGCCTAGTGGGATAAGAGATTCTTGTTGTTGTTATTGTTGTTGTTGTTCTTAATATGTTGAAAATACAGAACATAAAAACAGGATTATCATTAGGTCATATTTTCCAATGAAGAATTATAAGATCAATATCTCATAATGTAATAGCCATTTTGGATCAAGTCAGTTTAAAATATAGCCCAATTTCATTCATCTGAAATTCATGTGAACTATTTTTATAAAATTCTAAACCCTACGCTCGTAGAAGAAGGGGAGTACGCTCCTCTGTTCTATCATCTGCTTCATCGAGCTGTGTCTGTGCTCGCTGCTCACTGTAGGGCTGATCGCGCTCTGCGGCTCCTCTCTCGCAGTTTCGACCCGATCGCGGCTCGCGTGCTGCTGTTTCGACCAGTACGTGCTTGTTCGTCTTCTGAGGTTACCTCTTCTGTCATGCGCCTGTTTCTACGGGTTCGACTTCTGTTGCTTCGACCCGACGCGCGTCCATTCGCGTCTGTTCGCGTCTAGTCACGCTCCATCGGATTGGACCATCTGGTTTCTTTCCGCTCGTAGAAGAAGGGGAGTACGCTCCTCTGTTCTATCATCTGCTTCATCGAGCTGTGTCTGTGCTCGCTGCTCACTGTAGGGCTGATCGCGCTCTGCGGCTCCTCTCTCGCAGTTTCGACCCGATCGCGGCTCGCGTGCTGCTGTTTCGACCAGTACATGCTTGTTTCGTCTTCTGGGGTTACCTCTTCCGTCATGCGCCTGTTTCTGTGGGTTCGACTTCTGCTGCTTCGACCCGACGAGCGTCCATTCGCGTCTAGTCACGCTCCATCGGATTGGACCATCTGGTTTCTTTCTCTTTTGCATCTGCGGGCTGAAGGATCGTCGTTATGACACTTCCTTCTTCTTTGGTTGATCCTAGCAAAGCTTTTTTGCCCACGTGGTGGGTAATCATCTTGCGGAATCTACTATTGTCTTCCCCTCAAGCTATAAGGAATGTCCTAATGATAGGAGTGATTGTCGTTTTCTTAAGAATATAAGTAGGAAGAGTGGGAAAACAACACTATTTTTCTCTGATTCAGATATTTTGACCCTAACTAAGAAATTCATGTTCGCTCTTATTGGGAAATTTCAGTGGGGACACTCATCTATGAAGATTATCAGAAAAGAGTGTTGTTGATGATCTCAAACTTGTAGGCAAGTGGAAAGTGGGACTTTTGGATAGGAGACATGTGTTGATTCAGTTAACCCTAGCTGAAGACTATGTTCGGATTTTCTCTAGAAAATATCTCAATATTATAGGCAAGTCAATGAAGTTACTCAAATGGTCTCCGGATTTTGACCCAAATCATGAGTCTCCTACTATTCCGGTATGGATTAGTTTACGTGGTCTCAAGTTGCATTTCTTTAATCATCAGATTCTTTATTCTATTGGAGTTATTCTTGGAGATCCTATGAAGCTAAATATGCCCACCTTTAACCTAATCAGGCCTTCTGTGGTCAGAATATATGTGGAAAGGGATATTACCTTACCTGATATTACTGAAGTCTGGCTGGGCACAACTCATAATGGATATTGGCAACTAATTGTCATGGAAACATAAATCTTTTTATTGTACCCACTGTAAGATGTTTGGGCATACACTTGATAAATGTCACAAACTCCATCCAAACTTGAAAACTAAAGCTCAAGCAAACAAAGAGAGGTTTAACCCCATTATTATGAACACATATGCTCGATCTGTGGAGGAAGTTCCCACAAGACGGGATTTGGTGTCTGATTTGCCTGTGGATCCCCCTCTACACGTATAGGTCTAGCCAAAAAAGTGCCAAAATACAGAGTATTAAGTAGCTAGAGAGCGACCCAATTTTGTCTTGCCTCCGCCTCTAATTCTACGGAAGGAGCCAGCTAATAAATTGGTGAGATGAGCGTCATTGTCAGTAGTAACCAATGTATCATCCAATAAGTTCCCGAGCTCGAGTCGGCCTCCATTCTTCTTCCCCCTGGAATAAACTTGTCATTCCTCGTCCGAAGATTGACTCACCTGATCAATAGATTGATCTAAAGTGTGTCGGACGTGTGTAGGTTGTTGAACATTAGAAGCAACTACTTGTTGGACCAGCTGATCTTTTATCGGATCGAAGGAGCACTCTCGTGTGTCTTGGCATGTAAGTGGGTCTTCTTCAATAACAGTGAGTGGTATAAGCATATTTGGATTTGTACCTGTAGTATGGTGTTATTCATCAGGAACTGCGGTGTTGGAAAGGGATCGGGTTGCACCTTCTCCGTAGGGATAGTAAATGACTGATCTTTAGCAATATTTAGCAGATCTTTAGCAATATTCGGCCTTAGATGAGGATGCAAGCAATAGCAAATAATAAAATTGTGACCAAACATACTACAATAAGAGCAATAAGGAGAGTGTGATTCTATTTCAACATTTTGTCAATACCCATTATGAGTGATGCTTATCCATATCTCATTCGGAGCTGGTTGAGTGATATCCCTTTCTCTCCCAACTAACACATAAGCCACAGAGGGTCTAGTGACAGCAACCGTAGGACTATCGACCTTGAGAGGTTTACTATAAGCAGCTGCTAATGAGTAGAGATGTTCCAAGTTGAACAAATGTAATTTTAACCACAAAAATTTTATTCAAATAAAAATGATAGGAAACTCCGCTTTTGGATCAAAATCGACAGTCTACTTCAGAATTTTCATAAAACTGTTATCGATCTTAATAACTTTTCAAGAAAAAATGCGAGTGTAATCGGTATCGTGAGATAACTAAATCAATATAGGTCGACTGTCAAGTAAGTCAATATTCCAACTGTCCAATAGTTTCATAGCATCAAAATCTTTTCGAATGATTTCAAGTTTTGGGTGACCATAGAGAAATTTCCCCACTAGAGCAAAGTGTCAAGATGACGCGAGAGTACTGGTTTCAACCTCAGTGAGAATAAGAGCAAGCTTCCCATTTTTTTTACCGAGCTTTTTAATAAAAGTGTGATCACCACCACCTTCAAGAGCATCGTGGAAAGATTGTCGAACATTGCATGAATTGCCGATATGAAAACCAGGCTCTAAACCTGAAAGAGGAGCACGAGTAGGAATAGGAAAGTCGCTGGCAACTGCAGTGACATAGGAACACATCGTCAAGACCATCTGAAGAGAGGCTAGAGGCGAGCTGCAAGGCGAGCAGACCTTCTGTCGGGCAGGGCGACAAAGACGATGTCGAAGGCGTCGTCGAGTACAGAGACGACGCGAACTGCTATCGAGGAAACATCGTCGAGTGCGGGTGAGGAGAGACGAAGCGAAGGGGCTTGCGGAACGACGGAACGACAGAACATGAGAAACCCTTCATCGTCGAAGCAAGCGAATTGTAGGGGCTTGCAGAATGACGAAAAGACAAAAAAGATAACGTGAAACTCTTCTTCGTCGGGCACGAGGAAGCCGGTGGAGTGAATCTGAGAGATTCAACGGAGGGAATAGCCATGAGGATATATCATGGGAATAGCCATGTTGAAATCACATATTGTTAATATATCCTGTGTATCATCTCCACACTTACTGATATAGGTTTGTGCATTTAACTATTTTGCAGGGTGTGTGCATTTAACTAATCCATCACTATTATATTTCAATTTAAATTAATCCACTAATGTTGTCAATATTCAGAAAAGTATTATCTAGTCAATTCGGGATATCCATTGCAACAGGATTTTTTAAAGTCATTTCCTGGCACGAGATATCACTTTCTCGACTTTGAGCGCAGCAGCCAAGTGATTAGAGGGAAAAATGAACTCTTCAACAAAAGACACGTGTCATTATGCAGTGTCATCAAGCGAGCATTTGATGTATGGAAGAAAAAGTGGGTCATACTCAAAGATATGCCTACATATTCTTTCAAATAATAGGTGAACTATTATTGCAACAATTACGCACCATAATTTTATATAGAGACATTCATCCCGAGATGATTGATTTCAGGGTCTTAGATGATGATCCTACCTACACGCATGAGGAATCTAACCAACATCAAGCTAGACCTTCGGTACAAAAAGAATGTAGGACGACGAGTACAACATTTATGAGGGAGAAGGCTTCAAGGAGATGTTCCAACTGAGAGGAGATTACTGATGCTTTGGTGAATGCAACTACTTGTGTAGCATCACCCATTTGTACTTGATGATTCATATTTTATCTTTATGTTTTTCTCGAGATATATTTTTTCAAAATATATATAGCAACTTATGTTGTACCTTTCTTTTGTGCACCGATAAACTTTAATTCTTAATTTTAAGACTGCTTATAGTTTTTTTTTAGAATTTCTCGAATGTTTTATGAACTTAACTTTTTTTATTAAAGCAATAAGGTATTATAATAACATGAAATATGACTCAAGATCATCAAACTGTTTGAAAGTCCCACTGTTATTGTGGCGATAGGAGTGTTCAGTACCAATCTAGGAGGGAAGATAGTTACGAGAGAAGATTTTATTCTTATCCAAGAAACAGGACTCCTGCGGATTGCAACCACTTTCGTTAGGTTGATGACACTGACGAGATACCTCTAGATCATGATTAGTCGAGGAGAGATGCAGAGATGGAGAAAAGATTGTCATGAAAACTTGAACATCAGGATTTCAATACAAAC